TCCTTAGTGTTTTGGCCTTTGAGAGCCTAAATCTTCCTTTTTCAGATTCATGGGTGCGACGGCATTGACGTTGGCCGCTGCTGGAGGTTCGTTCGTGCTAATTCTCACAGTGCTAATTTCCCTTTCGCATTCGCTGTTTCATGAGTACTTATATCTAAACATTCTTCTCTAGGCATCTTCAGTATTTTTTGAAAATTGAATTTGTGCATCCTGTTTATTATGGGGATCTGGGACGCTAAGGGAGTTGAGGCCTGGTGGTAGTGATGCCAGGCTACGCTTACTTCTTGCTGGATCGTTACGGTATCTTCCCACATACACATCAATGAAAACACAGACGAGCAAGAAGAAGGCGTGGCCTGGTCTCACCTACTGCTCTCCCCAACTATCTTAGTCGCTTAAGTACCTACGGAAATTTCATAGTTTTTCTTTCTCTGGCCTTCGATATCTGTTTTATAAATCAGGCCTAACGAATTATAATTGAGTGTTATTGCAGCCCATCTTCACATTGTTAAAAAATTGGTATCTCTTCGGCTAGAGGTCTCGCCACCAACGGGCTTATGTCCAACACCTTTAATCGCCGCTGCTTTTCGAAGTAGTCCACAAATATGTGGATTCCTTATTCATCGGTACGCTAATATCGTTTTCAGTGGTTTGGGCTTTTTTTGAGAAGCCTCGCTAGCGTAAAAAGTCTCATGGATAGCTGCTTTCCAATTATGAAACAGTAGCTGATAAGTAATCTCCCAAAGAAGAAAGCAGGCAAGAAGCGTCCTCCAGAACAACAAAAACAAAATCGCTCCCTCACAGTTACACCTCCCTGCGGTCTCTGTGCAACCCCTAGCTCACAAATCTCTCTATCACATCTCGCAGTAGTTGATATCATCCAGTGCAAAAAAGAATACAAAAAAAAACAACAAAAACGCAGAGGAAAAACTCTTGGAAGGAAGGAATTTTATCAACGCGGTGTCTGAATTTGGGATTACGGTAGCGCACGTTTTGTGCGTCGAGGTTTTGCATCACGAAAATTGCGTCACTCGTGCTTTTTACGCGTTTCACCTCGCGAAATGAGTTGAATTGAATGTATATACCTCCAATGAGTAAACTGTAATAAAGGGGAGCAGAATTATCCATGGGCATTAGCAATGCCCGCCGCCCCACTAAGAACAACTGAGTGGCCTCCGTCGGAGGACATCTAGCAAGTAAGGCGGTCCAACTGAGCAGGCGTTAGAACTAGAACTTACAGCGGCTGTAGCTCGCTTCTCGCTCGCTGTGCAGACGAATAGAGTGGGGACCCGTCTGTACTATTTGCACAAGGACGGACGACATGGTACTATGGAGCGCGGGGGCGTGTCTTATGAGCTTTCGTATTGATGAGTGCGCGCGGTCGCGCTGGTCATGTGGGCGGGTCGACCATCGTGCCTTCCATGTGGATGCCCCCTTTTCTCTGCCGCCTTAGAAGGAGTGTCCACTATTGAGAAACACTCACTCCCTCCTTCTAATGGCAAAGACGTCAATGAGGATGGACGCTACGAAGAGAAAGGCGCGACTAGCGACTGTCGCCGCCCATCTACCACAGCGGACTGTCCTTTTGATCAATAAGGGCACCCACATTCATCGTTTCCTGATTACATGATTTTGTAGAAACAACCATAATATGAGTGAGTTGGACGATTAGTCACTTTGGCCTTACAAAGCCCGTAGGCGCCCTTCTTTCAACTGTGAGTATTTTCTCCGAGAAGCTTTCGGTAACTAAGTATCCAGCTGTACAATTCTCTGAAGATACATGCGGCATTCTCTCACGGAGCGGCACCCCTCCCATAGCCTTCTCCCTTTGAACCTCTTACCACGCCTACCGCTATTTCGACTGTTGGTCAGGAGGTCCATGTTGCGGCGGCGTCGCCTCACCTCGGATCTCATGACATTTCTATTCGCCTCATTTTTCAAAATAAGCTGGGATATGCGTTCAGTGGAGGCGCCAATCGATGAGAGATACTGGACTCGCTTCTTGGCCTCTCAGCGCTGTCTTGTGTGCTTATGTGCTCATCGACGAGTGTCTTCTGTGCTCTTTTGGATTTGGGAGCTGATCCAACGAAAAAGTTCGTTTTTATTTCAGAATTTTGAACCCCTCCCCTAATAGTTTTTATTCCAGAACTCTCAAGAAGAAAACTGCTGCTGAACTCGCCGAGCAGTTCAAACGTCACGACGTGTTGGCGATTCTCGCTGATAAAAGCCGCATTAGGCACCATGGTCATTTTGTTTCACTTCTGTCGACGTTAAGAATGGCGGGGGGGGGGTCTGGAAATGGGCTGAGCGCGCTCTCACTTCTCTATTCGTCTGCGCCTCATCGGCTTCCACGAAACTCGTCGCCAATACTATTTAGCCGAGAGCGTGCAGGCAAGCAGAAAAGAGATGTGACTTAATCACATCTTTCCGTTCTGGCAAAGTACCACCCTCCCCACTCCGCACAAGACTCTCATCGGTCGACGCGAACCACCATCCACAAGGTACCGGTCCGCTTATTTCATGGAATTTTGCTCGTCGTGGGCGAGAGGTAAAGGCAAGTCCCCATTAAAGACACATGGTACGCTCATACACATTGAGGGTGTATGAGACTATCAGCCCCCCAGATGTCGATGTGTCGTGGTCCCCCCGCCCAAACATGCCCGGGAATGGAGATACAGGGCCGTGAAACACGCTAATTCTTCCATGCTCCGCCCACCCTTTTTAACCGGCGTCAGATTCGCCGTTCATAACATCCGTCGTAAGCGCGCCTGTCGCGTGCGGCTCCTTGGCACTTTGCCAAGTCCTTTAATTGCGCTCTCAAATACAAGTAAAACGCAATTTCCTGATGCGGATAACATTGGAGGTGCTACAAAATAAGAGCAGAAGATGATGACAAGGGGCAGAACTCAAGAGCAACTCGGCTGCATCTGCAGTATCCATCAAGGGCAAGCTGCCCACAAAACATGAAAATAAAAACAGCCCAAGCGTCCCACTCGTTTGTTCTAAGTATTTCTATGGCTTTGGCGCCGGATCGTAGAAATTTACAGGCCAGTTTATCTAATTTGCCTTTCCTTGATTTTTTTCATTTTTGTTTTGTTTACATTTACATCGTTGTGCTTCATTTCTAGCCTGTGTCATCTTCATCTCCTTGTACATGGATTTTGAAGCATGAGCAATACCTAAAATTTCATTCGCATCAGGAATTTGCGTCTTGCTTGTATTAAACTAAGGAGTATGCCGTTTTTATTCTCATGTTTCGTGGAAATACGTGGCCTCCGAGGGATGTTGCAGAAGTGGCACAGTTGCTTTTAAGTTCTGACCCTCGTCATCATCTTCTGTTCTTACTTTGCAGCACTTCCAGTGTTATCCGCATCAGGAAATTGCGTTTTACTTGTATTTGAGAGCGCAATTAAAGGACTTGGCAAAGTGCCAAGGAGCCGCACGCGACAGGCGCTTACGACGGATGTTATGAACGGCGGGAATCTGCGCCGTAAAAAGGCAGTGGGCGGAGCATGGAAGAATTAGCGTGTTTCACGGCCCTGTATCTCCATTCCTGGGCATGTTTGGGCGGGGGGACCACGACACATCGACATCTGGAGGGCTGATTAGTCGCTGCATACACGCCCTCAATGTGTATGAGCGCCTATGTGTCTTTAAGTACCAGCAGTAGTAGTCTTGAAACGGCCGCCAAAATAGCTGGACGTCCACTCCTCTCCCCCGGTCCCCATCCCTCATCTAGCTTCCCAGCTTCGCTGATTAGATCCTAACGCTCGCTACCGTTTGGGCGGCGTTTTTGATCGAAAATTTTCCAGTCTCTCTCCCACTTAAACCAGAAAAATGACAATGAGAGCGGGAGGGAGCAGGCAACGCAAATCTACGCCACAGTATGACCCCTTTCCGTCTGCTCCAGCCAGCCAAAGTGACCTTCCGATCCCAAAGATAGGATACCCAACATGTGACCTTCCCTGGGCTTAATCTCATTCATGGTTAGGGAGCACCATAGTTATATAGGAAACAACGACGATTAGGCATGCGTTCAGTAAGTAGACGTTCGCGACGCGCATTGCGCTTCAGTCGTGCGAATGTTCTCCCTGTAACAACGACGATTAGGCAGCGTTCAGACTTCGCGACGGCAGCGCTTCGGTCGCGCGATGCGCATGCTTTCAACTGCCTCGATCGCGTTAAGCGCGACCGAAGTGCTGCCATCGCGAAGTCTGAACGCTGCCTTATATGTGACCGCTGGAGAGGGGGGAGGGGTCGTATTTTGCAAAAGTTCTTCACAGCGTGATGGAATATCCTGATCTCTCTGTCCAGTGCCTGCCCTCAGCAATATTAGCGCCTTATTCCCATTTAAGGGCAATGAAAACAATGGCTGGGGTGGGCGGTTGCTGCCAACGTCGTTGGTGGAGAGGCTGCCAGAGGGCGTTTGACCACACCCCTTTCAACCATTCCACCAGTGCCTTTGGCAGCAACCGCCCATCCCCAGCCATCGTACCCGTTGCCTATAATGATGGCTATTTTCAACTGTTGTGGCTTTCAGATCGCATAGCCGTAGGTGATATTCGGCAGTTGATAGCTGAGAATCAGCTGGATAGCCCCGAATTCTCACGCGGTAAGCAGACACCATTAGCGGAAGGTGCGACGCCGTTGATGTTTGCCGTGGCCGTCGGCAACGAAAGAGCGGTATCAATCTTGCTATCAGTTACCGTAATAACTGGAAGACATGCGGTCACTATGTGTTTAGGTTAGGCGATTGGTCGATTTGCGAGTGGAGGTGAACGAAGTCGAGTCTCGTCATGGTCTCACAGCCCTACAAATTGCATCGCTTCTTAGGTTTGTGATTTGCGCCCTATGTCCTTTCCATGATATGTTGAAGACGCGAAATTTGAATGGGTGGGGACACAGAACTACTGAGATCCCTCCTTTCAATGCGGCAAGGGAAAGGGATGCATCAACTGGAAAGGTGTGGTGGTTATGAGTCATCTTTTATCCCTCCCCCCCCTCGGCCCATCTGGGATGTGTACTCAGTTGAAGGATCGGTCCGCGATACCTATCGAAATGCAAAAGATTGTGTGGGAAGGGTTGTGTGTTCCGCAGTGGACAACCATGTGTCAGTTTCGCGGCGGAAAGTTGTAAGGTAGAGAAAGTTAAGGCGCAAGGTTGCTTCCAATGGTACCTTCCCTCTTTTCCAAAGACAATCCGCCTGCCAGACTCCCGCCTTGAAGTCCGCCTCCAGCCAAAAGCGGACGCCATCGGAACTTTTAGCCATGGAATGGATACTCTACTCTATCTCCATTGGGTCAGCGGAGTTCATTATAAGGAATTAGCAACAGTGGGCTCGCCCCGAACACGATCGGCGCGTATCTGGCGATTCACCGCCAATAAATGTTTGAGCTAAGGGGGTCCTATTTAAAGGCGTTCCCCTTTGGAATTTTGTCCTCAGCAGACAAGTCATTCCACTTTCTTCTTCGATATTTCACCACCACTGCGTACGCTCCTTATAGGACCGTGCCTGCACCGTGACGGCAAGAACAAACCAAAAGTGGTAGGGCGCAGACAAGTAGCGCGCTAGCCTATGGTTATCTGTGAGGGTACGGGCGGAACTGGTAGACGGCACCAAGTCACCTCCAACCGCCGTTCGCAAGTATCACTTATTGACCGCAAAAAGTGGCTCGCTGCTGCAGCTATGGGCCCGTTGCCTTCGTACGGGAAGGAACCAGGATCTGCCAGATGAGGTACATGTCTCTAGTGTCCTACTTTCAGGCTTGATAGTAGCGCTCTTGTTCTGTTGATAAACGAGGCTAGAACTGGTGATCTCAATGCGCTCAATATGTCTGCATTCGACCTGTATATAACTAGTAGTGGTATGTTATCAGTACTGATAAGACTCTGCCCGTACTTATCGATACACTGTCTTTAACCTGTCGTTATTCTGAAAACTATGGATTTTTCATACAGAGGAGCATGATCCCAACTTGAGGGCGAATGTTGCACATCTATCGACCGTCTCGGCTTGAAGGTAAACTGAATCTGAGTGGAAGCACCACTACGCTGTCAAAAGTGCTGGCGACAGGACGGCCAAAGGTATCCCTAGATCCGAAGGGATTGTCCGGACTGTACAAGATCAGAGGTTCGAAAAAACGGGGCGTGATACAGATACTCCAAAACCTGCGCATGCGAAAATTAAAAGTGTCTGTCTCGTACACGCAAATTTAGCGGAAGTACGAAGTCTTTAGAGGGGGCTAGGAGCGACCAGCGACGCTAATTCCTGCTCTCCACCTGTAGTCTAGTGCTGCCTAGGCGAAAACTGAGCGGCGCACGCACTCAACTTCACGCGCAGTTTAGGATACTGTATCACTGTTTTCCTGAACTTTTATTTGAATAGGGGCGATTACGTGCAAGGTTTTCCAGGAATGGCTGTCACGATTCTCAACTCAACTGGGTCTCTCATCCGAATCGCAAGCAGCGTCAAGTGTTATGGACATGCGGCAATGGCGCGACTATTGGGTACGGAACAGCGGCACGGACGGGCGATTTTGGAAGGTGAGTACGAATGTACGAATGCCGGTGGCATATCTTCAGAAAGCAGAGCTATTACTCAGAGTACGTCGCACGTTGTGACGTTGGGAGCCTCACGAGGGGTCCTTATTTGGTCGCTTTAAAGCGGCGGGGGGAGGAGGGCCGTACTTGCCTCCGAGAAAAATGTCTATGACTGGTGGCACTTTTATCACGACACATTTACCAATTAAGAACGACACATGTTGACGAGGACTAGCCTTAAGAAAGTGTTTAACGGTGCGGGACGCCCCTTTCCCACAAGGAGAACAGTTCTGCGTTGAAATTTATAATCGGTTACAGAAACTAGTCACTGCCGAAGAGATCTTACGAATGACAAAGAACGCAACGCCACTCAAAACTATCAGCTATGATACGGTATTAGATGCTGTGAAGAAGATGGCGCAAGTAAGTTCCACTCATTGTTGAAAAAAATGTAAACATCTGCGTCACAAAGATGGTTCAGTCTGTATAAAACGCTGTTCTAACTGCTTAGCCTGTAATCAAACGATCATCTAGACCAGTAAAGCACTTCTTCCTGCAACGTGCTGTGGGCAGAAAATCCAAGTCGTGAGGCCCTGCAGAAAAGAAAAGGCGCGGTGCATGAGCGAGTTTCCATGCCAGTTTGACTCAGTTCATGTAGCCCATTTTCGTGAAACCATTTAGGTCCTATAGGTACAAAAGAGGCGAGGTGATGTAGTGAAAGTGGCGCGCGTCACGCACTCGGGGTGCCGGGTTGAAGTCCTGGTCGACTCCCGCCCAGGCCAACCAAGCCTTCTACCCTCCGGGGACGGTAAATTGGTACCAGATTCGAGGATAAAACACTGACTTGTACATCGGCTGGCCACCGCAAGTCATTGTATAGGCCACATCGCATTCAATAAGCCACTACGATTCTGAATGGAAGTAGAATGCGTGCCGCATCCCACAAAGGGATTGATCAACGGCGGAGAACTTTATCCCATTTTTTCCTTTACGTAAGGCAAAGCCACTTTCAGGCGTAGTATCCTCCAGCGCAGCTTCGATTCTCTGATTCATGAATTAGTTTTAGTGGGGGAGTTCTAGTGGGTTTTGATGTTCTACTTCTGAGCCAACGAGGTTTGTAGGTGGAACTTTATTTATGGCCTAACGTACGGAAGAAGTAAAGAAAAAAATGAAGACCTCACTTTACTAAACATCTATGTGGATGGGCGGTGTTGATCCGCTATGCGCGATGGACTTGGCCTCTGAGAACGACGATCTGGTCGAAACTTTAGGCCACAAATAAAGTTCCATCTAAAAACTCGTTGACGCAGAAATAATAGAACAGCATATTTACAACGATGCCGAGGTTTTACAAAGAGAGAAGTTGCAGGCTGGGTTTAGTTAGTTGGGGGGGATAGGTCGTGAGGAAAGGTTGGAAGAAGAGGAAACAAAACGTCAGACTTGAACACTTACTGGTGCACCTGCTACTCACTGTCACGCATTTGCCTATTAAGCATTCGAATACGGTGCGGTTTGCTGCAGATGAGGCGTGCCAAGACGGGATGGGTTTGACGCCCATATCTGTTCCTTTTTTTTTTCTTTCAGCAAGCGCGATAAGACTGCATCATTTTGTCCGTATCAGTCGTTTTCCATCAGCTGATTGTCGCCAAATTGGAAGAGAACGAGCTTACGGCGTGTCAAACCCAGGCTCACTGCACGCCCCTTTATCCACAGCGCCAGGACTGTATTCAGCACGAGCAGCAAGTTGCATATATGGCTCCTTCCCAGATCAGTGACGACGAATTTCTTATACTTCACCATTGAGTTTTTAGTTTCTATTTCCTTTGACTGCATGGCCTAAAGACCACCTTCTTCCAGTATTTGTACCACTTGTATATTGTGCCAGTTTGTCTGTCAGCCTGTTTTTTCTTTGTCTTCCTACACTCTGCTACAGCAGACTTACTGATATGCTGGGTTTTACGGGGGCACAGTGCATTAAAGTGACATTCTGCAATATCCTGATGGGCTAGAAAATGGGCAGAGTCTTACAAACATTGGCCTTCCTTATTGGTGCACTCCTGTTAGTTACAGCAAAGAATGCTGCGGCAATGATAGGGATGGGCAGTGATGGACGGTCTCCGCCAATTCTGTCCATCAACCTCTCGATGAATGGCGTCTAAGGAGGAGTCTTTAGTAGTCGCAGTCATTTCTCTTTTAGCAATCACAGTCGTTTCTCGTAAGCTGCTTCTACGATTCCTATGTTGGTGATGTGAAACGAGAGACCGATAATGAAAGTGACAGTTATAAATGGGAATACTTACGATCGAGCTCAGATGTACACATCACAATGCGTGAGTTTTCTAGCAGTACTTCTTTGTAAAGAGCCGACATCTTGAAGGGTTTTGGTACAATTTTTAAGGGTCAGTTTGTTTTGTTTAGGGTTACCAGCAGTCGAAGAGGCGAGTGATCAATCCCAGGGATTCAATAGTTGTCCATCGACGAGAGGGAAGCGATGGTATGCCACCTTCCTCAGAAGGATGTTTTGACAACGTTAGCGAGCAGTTTCAGACGGGGAGGAGAGAGCGGGAGGAGAGGAGGGAAAGATAGGTGTCACCTATTTTTGCCACGTATGGCTACTCCTATCCGTCGGTTCTCTTACCTAATACTTGGTATCACTTACAGCTTTTCACAGTATTCCACAGATAGCTCACAGCTGATAGCTCGACACGACGATAAGAAGTAGCGAAAGTGCAAAATGCACTCCTCTTTCCCACAAACCGAGCTGTCCAATATTCTTATTTGGTCGCTTTAAAGCGGCGGGGGGAGGAGGGCCGTACTTGCCTCCGAGAAAAATGTCTATGACTGGTGGCACTTTTATCACGACACATTTACCAATTAAGAACGACACATGTTGACGAGGACTAGCCTTAAGAAAGTGTTTAACGGTGCGGGACGCCCCTTTCCCACAAGGAGAACAGTTCTGCGTTGAAATTTATAATCGGTTACAGAAACTAGTCACTGCCGAAGAGATCTTACGAATGACAAAGAACGCAACGCCACTCAAAACTATCAGCTATGATACGGTATTAGATGCTGTGAAGAAGATGGCGCAAGTAAGTTCCACTCATTGTTGAAAAAAATGTAAACATCTGCGTCACAAAGATGGTTCAGTCTGTATAAAACGCTGTTCTAACTGCTTAGCCTGTAATCAAACGATCATCTAGACCAGTAAAGCACTTCTTCCTGCAACGTGCTGTGGGCAGAAAATCCAAGTCGTGAGGCCCTGCAGAAAAGAAAAGGCGCGGTGCATGAGCGAGTTTCCATGCCAGTTTGACTCAGTTCATGTAGCCCATTTTCGTGAAACCATTTAGGTCCTATAGGTACAAAAGAGGCGAGGTGATGTAGTGAAAGTGGCGCGCGTCACGCACTCGGGGTGCCGGGTTGAAGTCCTGGTCGACTCCCGCCCAGGCCAACCAAGCCTTCTACCCTCCGGGGACGGTAAATTGGTACCAGATTCGAGGATAAAACACTGACTTGTACATCGGCTGGCCACCGCAAGTCATTGTATAGGCCACATCGCATTCAATAAGCCACTACGATTCTGAATGGAAGTAGAATGCGTGCCGCATCCCACAAAGGGATTGATCAACGGCGGAGAACTTTATCCCATTTTTTCCTTTACGTAAGGCAAAGCCACTTTCAGGCGTAGTATCCTCCAGCGCAGCTTCGATTCTCTGATTCATGAATTAGTTTTAGTGGGGGAGTTCTAGTGGGTTTTGATGTTCTACTTCTGAGCCAACGAGGTTTGTAGGTGGAACTTTATTTATGGCCTAACGTACGGAAGAAGTAAAGAAAAAAATGAAGACCTCACTTTACTAAACATCTATGTGGATGGGCGGTGTTGATCCGCTATGCGCGATGGACTTGGCCTCTGAGAACGACGATCTGGTCGAAACTTTAGGCCACAAATAAAGTTCCATCTAAAAACTCGTTGACGCAGAAATAATAGAACAGCATATTTACAACGATGCCGAGGTTTTACAAAGAGAGAAGTTGCAGGCTGGGTTTAGTTAGTTGGGGGGGATAGGTCGTGAGGAAAGGTTGGAAGAAGAGGAAACAAAACGTCAGACTTGAACACTTACTGGTGCACCTGCTACTCACTGTCACGCATTTGCCTATTAAGCATTCGAATACGGTGCGGTTTGCTGCAGATGAGGCGTGCCAAGACGGGATGGGTTTGACGCCCATATCTGTTCCTTTTTTTTTTCTTTCAGCAAGCGCGATAAGACTGCATCATTTTGTCCGTATCAGTCGTTTTCCATCAGCTGATTGTCGCCAAATTGGAAGAGAACGAGCTTACGGCGTGTCAAACCCAGGCTCACTGCACGCCCCTTTATCCACAGCGCCAGGACTGTATTCAGCACGAGCAGCAAGTTGCATATATGGCTCCTTCCCAGATCAGTGACGACGAATTTCTTATACTTCACCATTGAGTTTTTAGTTTCTATTTCCTTTGACTGCATGGCCTAAAGACCACCTTCTTCCAGTATTTGTACCACTTGTATATTGTGCCAGTTTGTCTGTCAGCCTGTCTTTTTTCTTTGTCTTCCCTACAGCTCTGCTACAGCAACGACTTACTGATATGCTGGTTTTACGCAGAAGTGCATTAAAGTGACATTCTGCAATATCCTGATGGGCTAGAAAATGGGCGGAGTCTTACAAACACTGGCCTTCCTTATTGGTGCACTCCTCCTAGTACAGCAAAGAATGCTGCGGCGATAGGGAAGGGCAGTGATGGACCGTCTCCGCCCAATTCTCGGTCCATCAACTTTTCGTGGAATGCGTCTTCAGTGGAGTTTTTAGTAGTCGCAGTCATTTCTCTTTTAGCAATCACAGTCGTTTCTCGTAAGCTGCTTCTACGATTCCTATGTTGGTGATGTGAAACGAGAGAACCGATAATGAAAGTGACAGTTATAAATGGGAGTACTACGATCGAGCTCAGATGTACACATCACAATGCGTGAGTTTTCTAGCAGTACTTCTTTGTAAAGAGCCGACATCTTGAAGGGTTTTGGTACAATTTTTAAGGGTCAGTTTGTTTTGTTTAGGGTTACCAGCAGTCGAAGAGGCGAGTGATCAATCCCAGGGATTCAATAGTTGTCCATCGACGAGAGGGAAGCGATGGTATGCCACCTTCCTCAAAGGATGTTTTCTGAACAACGTATAGCGAGCAGTTCAGACTGGGAGGAGAGAGCGGGAGGGGGAGGGAAAGAGGGGTGTCACTATTTCTTGGCCCGTATTGCTACTCCTATCGTCGGTTGCCTTTACCTAATACTTGGTATCACTCACAGCTTTTCATCATATTCCACAGATCTCTACCTGATAGCTCGACACGACGATAAGAAGTAGCGAAAGTGCAAAATGCACCCCTCTTTCCCACAAACCGAGCTGTCCAATATTGCCAGGATAATACTGTCGTTTCTCTAACAAGCGTTTGAAAGTGCAGTCGTTATCACTGAAGTCAGTCGGAGCTCATTACCTGAGGGTGGGTTTTAGCGCAGTGCCGCCCAGTTCCCACCACTCATTGGACACTGGGAGGCGCAACACAGAGAACGGGCACCTCGGTTGATTTCCATGATAATACCTGCGTGCATTTTGCACATATCTCGGCCTTTGTAAGGGGCGTGTCCATGGACTTGGTTGTGAGCGTGCGACATAAATAGTTACCGGCAAGGTTACCGTTAACACCCCCACAATTAAAAGAAGAAATAGACATAGGTAGAAAAACTACTACAATCTAAAGCTGTCTTTCCTGACTTGTATTCTGTGATAACTGTACTCACCTTGATTCAGGCAATCGTAAACCTCGAACGTTATCATTTCTTGACTCACCGTCACAGAATCAGATGCGCACCACTCCACGAATGCTGAAGAAGTCGCGTGACTCAATGGTAATGGAGGAGGTGATACCGCGAAACACTTATGATCAACTTAGGAAGTACGTGAGCGTTAAAGTGCCGACAGTGAGGCAGTGTTCAGACTTCGCGACGGCAGCGCTTCGGTCGCGCGTTTGGCGCGATCGATGCGCATGCTTTCTACTGCATCGAACGCGAGCGCTGCCGTCGCGAAGTCTTAACGCTGCCTGAAGCGTACCAAGGGGGTGGGTTTGCGCAGCGTCAGCCAGCTTTCCACCAATTGTTGTCGCCTGTCAGCTTCCACAATTGGTGGAGAACGGGTTAGCGCGTCGCCAAACCCAGCCCCTTGGAACGCGCCAACGTGCAAGACTGTATCTAATTTTTCTAATTTCCGAAATCATACCGTATTCCTAGTTCAGGACAGCTTCAACTCCACTGCTTGTACAAGTACCAACAATGATTGGCACGCCACATATTCGTTTGGCATTGAGTCAGTCAGACCGACGCCGCACCGTTGAAGGTAAAAGGTATTTCCTATGTCCCGGCTAGGCTCCAGGTAACCAAGCTTTATTTCCCTCAGCGGCCGGTAAATTTGTACCACACCTGAGAAGATAGAAACACTGGCTTGTTCGTCGGCTGACTAAGTCATTATGTACGTTCCGTATCCCGAAGAAAGAAAGGGCGTGGCTGCGTAATTGCTCTGAACCTGGCTGCGAGTGCGCTTCCGCCTGAATATCTTTTTGGAACAGTTGCAATCTTGTCTTTGTCTAGGGCAGAAAAAGCTCATCTGCATCAAACGGCAGTCCCTATATGAAACGCATTCCACGTCATTTCAGATGAAGTTCGCAGCCACGCCCCTCCATCTTCGGGATATAGAGTGAGGGCCGAACCGCATTCAAAATGAGGCACCGATTTTGGACCAGTTAGAATGCTTGCCCCCCATCCCAAAGCATACTGGTCTTCGGCAAAATTTTTATCCTTTTTTGGATTGGAGGGTTGCAAGAAATATACTGGTCATGAGGGATGGAGCTGTCTGATCACGGCACGTTGTACGTTTGGGATGCCCAGCGAGGGGATCGTATTTGGTTGTTAGTCTGGATTCTGGAGGGGGCATTGCGCCTCTCGAAAAAGTTTCGTTAACTTTTCTCGGTTTTTGGTTTCATGCGCGCTACTTACCCCCCCCCCCTTCCCTCCACCCCACCCCCAGCCCGCTCGACCGGCAGTTTTTTGGGGGGCCGACTAAAGAAGTTTTCGGAAAACAAAGATGAAAGCAGTAGGAAGTTGGGAAAACATAAAACGATGGCAATGGCAGGTAGTGTAGGAAAGGGGATCGCATCAAAACAGGAATTTAGGGGCGGGCATGGTACTGAAAGGGAGACTCAGGGGTCGTATTCTGCAGAATTTTCCCCAGCTGCAGAACATGCTCTGTGTGAGGTTCTCCCCCCCCCCCAACTCTTTCTGACAGCCCTTTCTGTCTACCCCTTGTGTGCGTTTACGACCAGCTCGGAGAGACCATCACTGGGTGCGGGCGGTAAGCGAGAGCTTATCCAACCTGCTCGCATCAGGGTGTGTAGCAATTAGTAAGGTTGCGCAGAAAGGTTTAAAGGTGCCTATCAGAGGCGATCTATCCTCATAAGTGACCCGTACTCCCGTATTCTGTACCCATGAACGCTGGCCTTTTTGAACCAGTGAGGACGTTGTTCCTCATCGATGGGCGCGCTCCTACTAGCAGATTTGCGGGGTATGCTGCGTGTTTAGTTCACACATCTCCCACTCATTGAGCGTAAGAACGGTGTCAGACAGTCCCGCCCATACCCTCATTAGAACTTAGTTACGTGACAAATAGAACTTTTACTGGACGTCCTGTTTCGAAAGGCTAAAGTGCAGAGATAGAGAGCACTGCTACCGCCGGGGTATCGAAAAAACCGTGTCGCAAGCCAGGGGACGAGTTTTTCAGGGGGAGGGATTTCCGGGGTGGATAAACCGCTTATCATATGTGAAAAGCTAGACTGGTAAGATCGCAGTGGTCATAAAATACATGCAGATGTGAGAGCGCAGAGAGAAAAGAAAGTTCCCGAGGTTAAAAGATAGAGTTTTAGTTGTCCGTAGACGTTTAAACTTACGCATTTGAGCAAAATTTCGCCAGTGGAGACAAGCTAGGGGCCAGACACCACCCATACCCTCAGCACCACCTTTTCCTTTACTGACAATGAGCTTTGAAATTTAGAGCGGATTTGGGGTGAACTACGTAAACACAACATGTCTCAATATATTGACGTGTTCCAGAAGGAGGAAATCGACGCCGAGGTGGG